GGATAGGAAAATGTTTGGTTAGAGAGCCTATAAATGAGGAAGGGTGGCTGTGTTAAGGTCTCTCTCTTACACACACATAGCTAGGACTAGGAACTAGTCGAGGCCTTATGGTAGCAGCCTTAAGGCTGTTTTAGAGGCCCAGCTGATGTATGGATGATATGGCCTGGTGTTTACACCAGCGGCCGAACGTCTTGTTCTTGTAAATATGTGCTTCGTTCCTGTGGCTATTATTGTTATTTGCTGTGGCCTAGATGGATGTGGTACGTGTGGCCAGATATTGTACTAGATGCCGATGTCTTTTTCTCCAGTGTCTTTTCCTGCCACTTGAGTACGATGTTTGTACCAGATGTCAGATGTCTTGTTGCCTGGGTAGGAAATATTCCTGCTGTTCTAGTGTCGAACGAGATTGTTTTGAGTACCACTGAGTACTCTTTTTTAAAAGGATTTAAACCAAGAATTAGAAGAATCAGAACTAGGGATATTAGCATTTTCCGGTGTGATTCTGGGATTGTGCAAGAAATAAAATTAGGACTAGTAATAATAACTTTGACAAGTGTGATTATGAGATTACGTAACAGTGCGAGAAATGAGAAGAATTAGAAGAAGTAACATTTACGAGTGTAATTCTGAGATTACCTAAACAGAGCGGTAGTGTAGGACCTGAGAAAATGACGTTTACCTGTGTAAATTTGAGTTATATAAATGTCGGTTTATTATTCATACTTAAATATGTTTTTGAATGTTATGCAACCAAGGTGAATAATTCTGTATGGAGATGTAAGTTTAAGGATTTGCTGTCATTTTTTATTCGTATTAGGAACTCATGAGATGTTTTCTTGAATATGAAAGACTGGCCAGGTCTTATTTGTATTGTTTCTTTGTTTTTGCTTTTAACATATATATATATTGTGACGTCAAAATAAGATAAATAAATGTATTAACTGTTTGTTACTAAGTTTTATTTTAGTTAATATTAATGTTGTATTAGTGTGAAGTAATTAGTTCACTCAGGTCTTTTAGGCCCCTTTGTCACAACGAAGGTGAACGGATATGAGGGAATAAATACCATCTTACCATCTCTCTCCCCAATCGGGTAACTCAATCCCCACCCACGTAACATATATAAATTCTAATCCGTTCGGGGCCCGGGGGGGGGGGGGGGGTAAACGGTTTTAAGAATCTCTGAATGCATATCGAAATTCTACACATGAAGCATGCAAATAATGAAACTGTCCTTCACCTTGACAGACGTGATGGCCAGGTAGAGAATATTTATCCAGAAATCGTCTGCTCTGCTGCTGCACGTAAAGTTGTTGTGGCCGTCACTACTGCAACAGTTGTAGACAAAGTCAGCATTCCCGCCAATATCGGCAATCTCCTGGTTGCAGGCAAATCTTTCACTGGCAGACAATAGTCGTGAACATTAGCTTATGAATATTTATCAATAAAAGCAAAGTAGGGGTGTTAGTTATTCACACTTACTAGATCAGGTACTTGCAGGAAAGTGTTAGTCTTATTGCTTTAGACAAAGTGTACTATTTACTCTCCTTCAAACGGGAAAATTATAATTGCGTTCAAAATGACAGAAGACTAAAAAAAATGTCATAAAAACGTTTTAATAAAAAACTTTTATATACTAATGCACTAAAAATTAGAAAATAAATTATAGACTACTATGTAAATTACTACTATAAAGAAAAGCGTGGGCCACTTTAGTATCTATTGGATACCTTTACTAATGTTTAAGAAGAGACCCACGCTTTTCTTTATAGTTATTTAAATAGTAGTCTATAATTTATTTTCTACTTTTTAGTGCATTATTACATAAAAGCTTTTTATTAATACGTTTTCTTACGAATTTGTTTTAGTACTTTACATGTTTTTAATTACAATAGAGTTTCATCACTAAAAACCATTGCGCGCCTATTGAACGTGATGACGCGCTATTGAACGTGATGACGCGTGTAGTGTGGTTGGATAGAAATGCCAACTAATTTGGTTAAAATTTTAATTAATTCAGAAAAATTAATTAGGCATCCAATTTAAGACAAATTTAATTTCAGATTGCATTGTCTTCATGTCTTGACCCACGTGTCAAATGTGAATCGTATCGGTCAAGTAGAAGTGTCCGAAATTTCACTCCTGCGTTTCGATCTAGACTGACGACTGACGACAGACTGACGACTGACGAGGAAGTGAGTTAAATAAAAGCTTGTAAAAAAATTTCATAAAAACGTTTTAATAAGAAGCTTTTATGTAATAATGCACTAAAAAGTAGAAAATAAATTATACACTACTATATAAACTACTATAAAAAAAGCGTGGGTCACTTGAGTACCTTTTGGATACTTTTACTAATATTTGAGAAGAGACCCACGCATTTCTTTATAGTAATTTAAATAGTAGTGTATAATTTATTTTCTAATTTTTACTGCTTTATTACATAAAAGCTTGTTATTAAAACGTTTTTTATGAATTTTTTTTTCAGTACTTTACATGTTTTATTTACAATTTAGTTACATGACTAAAAACCATTGCGCGCCTATTGAACGTGATGGCGCAGCTATTGAACGTGATGACGCTTGTGGTGTGGTTGGATAGACACGCCTACTAATTTGGTCCAAATTTTAATTTATTCATAAAAAATTAATTAGGCATCCAATTAAGTCAAATTTAATTTCAGATTGCATTGTCTTCATGTCTTGACCCATGTACCAACTAAGAACCGTATCTGTCAGTTAGAAGTGTCCGAATTTTCGCTCCGTCGTTTTGATCTAGACTGACGACAGACAGACAGAGGAAGTGAGTTAAATAAAAGCTTGTAATAAAAAGGGTAAAATTTTTTAGACCTTGTAAAGTTCTTATAAGTTTCTATTACAATAAGTTGTCGTAACAAAAGATGTAATATATACCTAAATATAAGCCCTTTGAATTGGATTGCTAAAAGTGTATAAATAAAAAAGCCTTAACATTTTTATAAGTACCAAAAATTCAAAATGGCGGAGGTTTTTTGGGTTACAATAACAATCAAAATTGTTTTCAACCCTTCTTTTTGTTTAATAATTACTTTTATATGCCAAACAATGTAAAGTATTCAAAAGGCTTTAGATATTAAATTGTATAAAACAGAATGAAACTGGGCATATCCCCTTAAGTTAAATAAAATAAAATAGTCTATATCTTTATATTCTAAAACTGGGAGATGTGGGAAGCGAATCTGATTGAAGATAAATTCATTAGTATTGTGTACCATTTTCGGCATTCTATTCTTATCGTAAAATCAATGACGCAATTATTGTTGTGTACTTTCGTAATTTAAATTTTTTTAACATTGTTTCGTAAAAAAAAATTCTATGTATTACATGTGACGTGATTTTGCCAGCAATATTTTTTGTGCTACTTATTTTCTGTCGAGCGTTCACCTAGCAACCATAAACACTTCACCAGTTGCATAATAAAAGTTGTGTTCCTACTTTCGAATATGCCTTTTATTGTCCCTCTTTAAATACAATTTAGTTTATACATTAAATTTAAACATCCAACACAATATTTTCAACAAAAGTCCATATCTTTAAGTTCTCCATATATTACTGAAGATACTGATCTCATAGCCTCGGAAAATATGTGGCGGATAGAGATAAGGATGGAGAGAGAAAAAGTGCGAACATAGCGTTCTATATATAAGCACACTACTAGACATCGGTACCCGTTATACGGGCAATCTTGGTGACTCTTCTCTTTACATATTCAACCCCGTTTTGCATTTAGATATTTATCTCCGGGTAGGGCATTTAAAGCTGTCCAGGGGAGCGTTTGGGTGTGTGTGTGTGCCCGTGTGTGTGTGTGTGGGGGGGGGGGGGGGGAATTGGGGGTAGCGGATACTGGTTCTTCTGTTTTTTAATGAAAGGGGAAGAAAAGGTAGAGTAATGAAATGAATTGTAATTCAGCTTTTTAAAAAGTCATTATCGGAAAATGAGAAATGAAACATTATTAAGATTATAAAAATAACGAAAAGAAGGGGTTTTATTTTATGTACGATCTATGGTTATACTTGTTTAAAAAAACGTAGACTATTAATACCTATTAGAAAAATTAAAACCAAATTATAGACATTATTTGTCAACACCATATTAAATGCACACGCTGATTAAGAGGCTTAAAATTAAGAGACTTAAATGATTTTGTTAAAAACCCGGCTGTTCAATGGTAGTTTTGTTGTTAACACGTTTTTAACACGTTTTTCTTAACTCAGCTTCGCGTTTATTTGTTTGTTTGTTTGGTTGTTTGGTTGTTTGGATGTTTGTTGTTAAAATTGACATCGAAAATTAGCCCACTTCTGATTGCTCTAGAGATCTGAAATTTGGCATGCAGGCTACTTTCGCCTAACAATTTCAGATGCAATCATAAAAACTAGCAATTAGAGACCGTAATTAGCTTAATTTAATTACGCCCCAAGGACCATAAAATTGAGGACATGATTTCTAAAGATACCGACAAGACTGGAGGCCTATTGACACAGTTACTTCGGCCCCAATCGTTGTGAGCGCGCTGGCCGTGATCGTATAGTGGTTAGTACTTCGCGTTGTGGCCGCGACAACCCAGGTTCGAATCCTGGTCGCTCAAGATTTTTAGTCCGTGTATTTATAAACACTTAGTCAAGTCATACTTAATCAAGTCATTAGATAAAGTAGAAAATAAACTATATAAAAAACTTTTAAAAAAACACGTTTTTCATGTGTAGCAACGGACTAAAAAGGAGAAAATAAAATACTTAAAAAAAACTTTTTAAAAAACCACGTTTTTCTTGTGGACTAAAAAGTAGAAAATACATTTTTCTTTTGTGCTTCCTCGAGCTGTGCAGGTTCTTGTGATGACTGACAAAAAACGTGGGTCGGGCAGATGGGTCAGGAAGTTTGATGGTGTATGTACAATAGAGTTGCATGACTAAAAACTATTGCGCTCCAAATGAACGCATTGTCTTCAAGTCTTAATCCACGTGTCAACGAATCTGTCAGAAGTGCTAAAATTTTCGCTCGCCCATTTCGATCAACGACGACAGACTGATGACAGACTGATGACAGACTGACGACAGACTGATGACAGACTGATGACAGACTGATGACAGATTGATGACAGACTGATGACAGACTGACGACAGACTGATGACAGACTGATGACAGACTGACGACAGACTGACGACAGACTGATGACAGACTGATGACAGACTGATGACAGACTGATGACAGACTGACGACAGACTGATGACAGAGGAAGCAAGTGAGAATGTAAAGTTAAGGAAAAAATGTAAAATATTAACCTTGGATTGACCTTGTCTTTATCTATACGACTCAGTAGAATCATGCGGACAACCGCGACTTGCTCACCAGTTGAGAGGTTACCTTAGTGGTGATACAACAGAGATTAGATGTTATAAGAAAAGTGTTATAAGAAAAGTGTTATAAGAAAAGTGTTGTTATAAGAAAAGTGTTAAATTACCGGGATTTTTGCTCCTATTAACTAAACCTATTAGCATCCACCAAAACCTCCTGTACAAAAGTAACAACTGTACCCACCAAAACCTCCTGTACAAAAGTAACAACTGTACCCACCTAAACCTCCTGTACAAAAGTAACAACTGTACCCACCAAAACCTCCTGTACAAAAGTAACAACTGTACCCACCAAAACCTCCTGTACAAAAGTAACAACTGTACCCACCAAAACCTCCTGTACAAAAGTAACAACTGTACCCACCAAAACCTCCTGTACAAAAGTAACAACTGTACCCACCAAAACCTCCTGTACAAAAGTAACAACTGTACCCACCAAAACCTCCTGTACAAAAGTAACAACTGTACCCACCAAAACCTCCTGTACAAAAGTAACAACTGTACCCACCAAAACCTCCTGTACAAAAGTAACAATTGTACCAACCAGAATATTCTATCCACAAAAAAAAAAAAATACCCAACAAAATCTCGTGTACAAAAGTAACAACTGAACCCAACAAAATATTCTATCCACAAAAAAAAAATACCCACGAAAATCTCGTGGATAAAAAAAAAATACCTACCAAAACAACCGAACGGATTGTCCCTGAGTTCAATGTCCGCTTTCTTGACGCCAATGGTGAGAATGTTCATGGACAAGACGTCGTAATGAAAGGACAGCATCAGTAGAGTCCGGCCATGTTGGTTTTTTGTTGTGTACCATAGCCAGGGCTGGTCAACAGATAGCAAGTATGATATGTCAGTCTTGGTCAAAGAGACCATCAGATATCGGCCATTCATACAAGAATTGTATCTGACATCAGACAGATCATCAGATATTGGCCATTCATACAAGAATTGTATCTGACATCAGACAGATCATCAGATATTGGCCATTCATACAAGAATTGTATCTGACATCAGACAAAACATCAGATATTGGCCATTCATACAAGAATTGTATCTGGCATCAGACAGATCATCAGATATTGGCCATTCATACAAGATATATATCTGACATCAGACAAACAGATCATCAGATATTGGCCATTCATACAAGAATTGTATCTGACATCAGACAAACAGATCATCAGATATTGGCCATTCATACAAGAATTGTATCTGACATCAGACAGATCATCAGATATTGGCCATTCATACAAGAATTGTATCTGACATCAAACAGATCATCAGATATTAGCCATTAATACAAGAATTGTATCTGACATCAAACAGATCATCAGATATTAGCCATTAATACACGAATTGTATCTGACATCAGATAGATCATCACATATTGGCCATTCATACAAGAATTGTGTCTGACATCAGACAGATCACCAGATATTGGCCATTCATACAAGAATTGTATCTGACATCAGATAGATCACCAGATATTGGCCATTCATACACGAATTGTATCTGACATCAGACAAACAGATCATCAGATATTGGCCATTCATACAAGAATTGTATCTGACATCAGACAGATCATCAGATATTGGCCATTCATACAAGAATTGTATCTGACATTAGAAAGAACATCAGATATTGGCCATTCATACAAGAATTGTATCTGACATCAGACAGATGATCAGATATTGGCCATTCATACAAGAATTGTATCTGACATCAGACAAACAGATCATCAGATATTGGCCATTCATACAAGAATTGTATCTGACATCAGACAAACAGATCATCAGATATTGGCCATTCATACAAGAATTGTATCTGACAACTGACATCAGACAGATCATCAGATATTGGCCATTCATACAAGAATTGTATCTGACATCAGACAGATGATCAGATATTGGCCATTCATACAAGAATTGTATCTGACATCAGACAAACAGATCATCAGATATTGGCCATTCATACAAGAATTGTATCTGACATCAGACAGATCATCAGATATTGGCCATTCATACAAGAATTGTATCTGACATTAGACAGAACATCAGATATTGGCCATTCATACAAGAATTGTATCTGACATCAGACAAACAGATCATCAGATATTGGCCATTCATACAAGAATTGTATCTGACATCAGACAAACAGATAATCAGATATTGGCCATTCATACAAAAATTAAACCTAACATCAGAAAGATCATCAGATATTGGCCATTCATACACGAATTGTATCTGACATCAGACAGACCATCAGATATAGGCCATTCATATAAGAATTGTATCTGACATCAGACAGATCATCAGATATTGGCCATTCATACAAGAATTGTATCTGACATCAGACAGATCATTAGATATTGGCCATTCATAAAAGAATTGTGTCTGACATCAGACAGATCATCAGATATTGGCCATTCATACAAGAATTGTATCTGACAGCAGACAAACAGATCATCAGATATTGGCCATTCATACAAGAATTGTATCTGACATCAGACAGATCATCAGATATTGGCCATTCATACAAAAATTGTATCTGACATCAGACAGATCATCAGATATTGGCCATACATACAAGAATTGTACCTAACATCAGACAGATCATCAGATATTGGCCATTCATACACGAATTGTATCTGTCATCAGACAGACCATCAGATATAGGCCATTCATACAAGAATTGTATCTGACATCAGACAGATCATCAGATATTGGCCATTCATACAAGAATTGTATCTGACATCAAACAGATGATCAGATATTGGCCATTCATACAAGAATTGTATCTGACATCAGACAGATCATCAGATATTGGCCATTCATACAAGAATTGTACTTGACATCAGACAGATCATCAGATATTGGCCATTCATACAAGAATTGTATCTGACATCAAAAAGATCATCAGATATTGGCCATTCATACAAGAATTGTATCTGACATAAGACATATCATCAGATATTGGCCATTCATACAAGAATTGTATCTGATATCAGACAGATCATCAGATATTGGCCATTCATACAAGAATTGTATCTTACATCAGACAAACAGATCATCAGATATTGGCCATTCATACAAGAATTGTATCTGACATCAGACAAACAGATCATCAGATATTGGCCATTCATACAAGAATTGTATCTGACATCAAACAGATAATCAGATATTGGCCATTCATACAAAAATTGTATCTGACATCAGACAGATCACCAGATATTGGCCATTCATACAAGAATTGTATCTGACATCAGACAAACAGATCATCAGATATTGGCCATTCATACAAGAATTGTATTTGACATCAAACAGATAATCAGATATTGGCCATTCATACAAAAATTGTATCTGACATCAGACAGATTATCAGATATTGGCCATACATACAAGAATTGTACCTAACATTAGACAGATCATCAGATATTGGCCATTCATACACGAATTGTATCTGACATCAGACAGACCATCAGATATAGGCCATTCATACACGAATTGTATCTGACATCAGATCATCAGATATTGGCCATTCATACAAGAATTGTATCTGACATCAGACAGATCATCAGATATTGGCCATTCATACAAGAATTGTATCTGACATCAGACAGATCATCAGATATTGGCCATTCATACAAGAATTGTACCTAACATCAGACAGATGATTAGATTATGGCCATTCATACAAGAATTGTGTCTGACATCAGACAGATCATCAGATATTGGCCATTCATACACGAATTGTATCTGACATCAGACAGATCATCAGATATTGGCCATTCATACAAGAATTGTATCTGACTGCAGACAAACAGATCATCAGATATTGGCCATACATACAAGAATTGTACCTAACATCAGACAGATCATCAGATATTGGCCATTCATACACGAATTGTATCTGACATCAGACAGACCATCAGATATAGGCCATTCATACAAGAATTGTATCTGACATCAGACAGATCACCAGATATTGGCCATTCATACAAGAATTGTATCTGACATCAGACAGATGATCAGATATTGGCCATTCATACAAGAATTGTATCTGACATCAGACAAACAGATCATCAGATATAGGCCATTCATACAAGAATTGTATCTGACATCAGACAGATCACCAGATATTGGCCATTCATACAAGAATTGTATCTGACATCAGACAAACAGATCATCAGATATTGGCCATTCATACAAGAATTGCATCTGACATCAAACAGATCATCAGATATTGGCCATACATACAAGAATTGTACCTAACATCAGACAGACCATCAGATATAGGCCATTCATATGAGAATTGTATCTGACTCCAGACAAACAGATCATCAGATATTGGCCATTCATACAAGAATTGTATCTGACATCAGACAGATCATGAGATATTGGCCATTCATACAAGAATTGTATCTGACATCAGACAGATCATTAGATATTGGCCATTCATACAAGAATTGTGTCTGACATCAGACAGATCATCAGATATTGGCCATTCATACAAGAATTGTATCTGACATCAGACAGATCATCAGATATTGGCCATTCATATGAGAATTGTATCTGACTCCAGACAAACAGATCATCAGATATTGGCCATTCATACAAGAATTGTATCTGATATAAGACAGATCATCAGATATTGGCCATTCATACAAGAATTGTATCTTACATCAGACAAACAGATCATCAGATATTGGCCATTCATACAAGAATTGTATCTGACATCAGACAAACAGATCATCAGATATTGGCCATTCATACAAGAATTGTATTTGACATCAAACAGATAATCAGATATTGGCCATTCATACAAAAATTGTATCTGACATCAGACAGATTATCAGATATTGGCCATACATACAAGAATTGTACCTAACATTAGACAGATCATCAGATATTGGCCATTCATACACGAATTGTATCTGACATCAGACAGACCATCAGATATAGGCCATTCATACACGAATTGTATCTGACATCAGATCATCAGATATTGGCCATTCATACAAGAATTGTATCTGACATCAGACAGATCATCAGATATTGGCCATTCATACAAGAATTGTATCTGACATCAGACAGATCATCAGATATTGGCCATTCATACAAGAATTGTACCTAACATCAGACAGATGATTAGATTATGGCCATTCATACAAGAATTGTGTCTGACATCAGACAGATCATCAGATATTGGCCATTCATACACGAATTGTATCTGACATCAGACAGATCATCAGATATTGGCCATTCATACAAGAATTGTATCTGACTGCAGACAAACAGATCATCAGATATTGGTCATTCATACAAGAATTGTACCTAACATCAGACAGATCATCAGATATTGGCCATTCATACAAGAATTGTATCTGACATCAAACAAACAGATCATAAGATATTGGCCATTCATACAAGAATTGTATCTGACATCAAACAGATCATCAGATATTGGCCATTCATACAAGAATTGTATCTGACATCAGACAAACAGATCATCAGATATTGGCCATTCACACAAGAATTGTATCTGACATCAAACAGATCATCAGATATAGGCCGATTAAAAAAAAAAACATACATTTATTACAAGCTTTTATTTAATTTGCTTCCTCTGTCTAGATCGAAACGGGCGTACGAAATTTTGAGCGATTCTGACTGACCGATTTATTGAAATTCGGCACATGGGAAAAGACAGGATGACAATCCAATCTGAGATCATATTTTACATAATTGGATGCCTAATGAACTTTTTATTTTTTTAATTAATTTATTAAAATTTCCTAAAAAAAACATAGGGTCTTCTACTTTTATTCCACTTTTATACGCGCATATTCATGTTCATGTGTATGCCTTATTTTAATCTAAATACTAAAACTCAAGTTGTTTTACATGTTTGAATATTTTTGTTTTGTTTTTACTTTCTTGTATATACGAAGTATAGAGAAAGTATTGTAATCGTGCACAATCTGTGTGTCTGTCTGTGTGTAAACACGATAACTTGAATACCGTTACAGCTAGGTTGATGAAATTTCATATATAAGTATTTTATCAAAATCGTAGATCCGTATCAACTTTTGAGCGATTACCGATAATCGGAAGTGGTACTTTTTCTACTTTGAATTTTTCAATAGCCTATAACTTGAGTACTATTTGAGATAGATAAATGAAATGTCTTAAATATTGCGCACTATTATGCACATTTTGTTTTGGCGTTAGCTTGGTGCGCAATTCTTTTTTCTATGAGATTCTATTTTATTTTTAAAAGTTAAAAGTAATTAAAAATCATGTCTATATTCCAAGTTATATAAGAATATTCGAGAAAGTTTAGGGGAGATCACTCCCGGTTTATTTTTGTTTGTTTGTCTGTTTGGTTACAGGAGAGAATCTGCAAATAGTAAATAGTATTTAGGTAGAGAGGAATGTTCATTTTGACCAGACTTTTAATCACAAATTAATTTAAAGATGTTAATTAATATAATGATATATTCATTAACCACTTTAATTATAAAAGTTCAGAACAATGACTTTACTTATAGTGACTTCACATGGTTTATTTACTTTTCATAATAATGGGGGCTTCTATGGAAGATTTTGTTGCCCATTGAAAAGGTTAACGCATTATAAAGCTTGTGAAGTAGAGTTGACCTGTTTTTGTGACCTCAGCATATGAAGGGATAGTATGGTCAGACCCATGCTCAGCCAAAATCGGCGTTCTTAAAAGACAAAAACGTCTGAGGTGTGACGTGTTTTTGAATGTGGGTTCTGTTTTTTTTTGTGGCGATAAGTGACAGCCGTGATGTCATTTATGGATGACCCCCGAAACCCACAGTTATCCAAAAGATGACGGGTTTTCTAGTAATAATTATAATTATAAATTGCTTTTTAAAATTCTAAATTTCTAAAATGGGCAACTTTTAAAAAATTGTATTTGGTTAGTGGCGTCACAAGGTGCGATATCACCCGGTGCGTTTAGTGAGTGTCACTCTCACCCCCTCCAACAATTCTACATTTCCGGTGGAGTGTTACACCCTCTTCCTAATATTTAATTATTTTAACTGAACAAAACATAGTTTCGACAGTAAATTTTACGAGTTTTCGTCATGGTGTCACATTACGCCTCTGTCACTGTGTTAGGTTACATAAAGGTTACAGGCTTGCAGTTGATTTGTTAGTTTGTTTTTTCATAAAAAATATATACAAATCAAAGGTATTTTACGCTACAGGTACTACATAATTATACCGTATAAATACACAACTATGGACGTATAAAATACACAATTTACAGATTAACGTAGGGGCCCAATAATAATTTTTGAATAGGGGCCCAAAAATCCTAGCTACGCCACTGTATGAGACTAACGCATTCAGAACGGTAGGTGATGGAATAGGTTTAAAAGTTTGCCTATATTTCGTACTACAGCTCATGCAGTTATTTTTGTCTATGAAAACATTGTGTGTTTGTTGCTGCAGAACAAATACCCCTGTAGTAGCTATTTTGTTTTACAAAAATATTTGTCTATCAATGTTTTTGGGTCGGATATTTCGGCGGTTTTAGGGCTCTAACCCTAATCCTTCCCCACCACTTTACTGTACAGCAGTTCCTCCTCAACCACTCAACTTCCTCCACGGTCACGTTTTATAACACTGAGATACAATATACAACATCCATATTACACTACACAACACACATCTTACACTACACCACACCCATATTAAAAAACACCCATATTACACTACACAACACACATCTTACACTACACCACACCCATATTAAAAAACACCCATATTACACTACACAACACACATCTTACACTACACCACACCCATATTAAAAAACACCCATATTACACTACACAGCACACATCTTACACTACACCACACCCATATTAAAAAACACCCATATTACACTACACAACACACATCTTACACTACACCACACCCATATTAAAAAACACCCATATTACACTACACCACATCCATATTAAAAAACACCCATATTACACTACACAACACACATCTTACACAACACGCATATTACACTACAAAACACCCATGTGAGAATACTAAGCCGCAGCAGTTCTATATAGTTTTACCTTGAAATATAATCCTGAAACATTAGTAAAGGGGCTGTAATCCCGCAGGTGTATGGTGAACTGGAACAGGTTGGCTGCCTCTCGGTCTTCTGCCTGTGTGGGAGATATGATCTCAGCTTATTATAGGTGACACGGTCAAACAAATGTACACAGATATGATCTCAGCTTATTATAGGTGACACGGTCAAACAAATGTACACAGATATGATCTCAGCTTATTATAGGTGACACGGTCAAACAAATGTACACAGATATGATCTCAGCTTATTATAGGTGACACGGTCAAACAAATGTACATAGATATGATCTCAGCTTATTATAGGTGACACGGTCAAACAAATGTACACAGATATGATCTCAGCTTATTATAGGTGACACGGTCAAACAAATGTACACAGATATGATCTCAGCTTATTATAGGTGACACGGTCAAACAAATGTACATAGATATGATCTCAGCTTATAATAGGTGACACGGTCAAACAAATGTACATAGATATGATCTCAGCTTATAATAGGTGACACGGTCAAACAAATGTACATAGATATGATCTCAGCTTATTATAGGTGACACGGTCAAACAAATGTACATAGATATGATTTCAGCTTATTATAGGTGACACGGTCAAACAAATGTACATAGATATGATCTCAGCTTATTATAGGTGACACGGTCAAACAAATGTACATAGATATGATCTCAGCTTATTATAGGTGACACGGTCAAACAAATGTACACAGATATGATCTCAGCTTATTATAGGTGACACGGTCAAACAAATGTACACATCGACATGAATAAAGGTAGAATAGCTGTAATGACTTGATCGCACACTAACGCTTACACTAACGCTTACACTAACCATTACACTAACGCTTACACTAACCCTTACACTAACCATTGCACAAAGCCTTAAACTAACCATTACACTAACCCTTATAGTAGCAGCTAGGCCAACATTTAGTACACTATCAACAAATTTAAGGGGTTGTTGATGTTTCAATATACATGTACTAATTACACACAAAAAATGTGCGGCGTGTGTTTTATAAAAATGTACTGCTATCGAATTATAATTTGGATATCAATATATATGCATATACATATAATTCACATATTGTTCATACGTTATTTATTTTAAATAACGGTGTGAAATAGTCCATATATTTTGTAAATTTCTAAATAGATAGAATAAGAGAAGACAGTCACGCATACCAAAATGTGGGGGGGGGGGGGGGGAGAAGCTAAAAGACGGGTTTAACAATGGAAGAGGAACAGAAGATAACAAAAATTCACAAAAAATAATGGAGACGGTAGATCAAAACGACAATCTTGGTCTACTGCCTCAAATGTTATAGATCTTTATGTAAACTTACTGTAGACTAGTATTAACCCATATTGCTTCATATGTTATAGATCTTTATGTATATCTACCAGTGGCGGAACTAGAAAAAAGGGCCACCCCGCAAAAAAAATTGTAGCCCCACCCCTATA